TATTTTTTCCAAGGTGAATTCTAGTCAAATCATCGTGAAAACTAAAGGAATCTGAGTGAATTGTTGTCAACTTGTTGCTGAAAATAATCAGTTCTTGAAAATTTGTCAACTTGTTGAAGACACCAACTGGCAGGTCTGAAAGTTCATTGCTGTACAAATTTAAAATTTGTAAATTCTGAAGACCATCAAAACTGTCAGATTTTAAAGTTTTAATTCGGTTTCCAAAAAGCCACAATCGCTTTAAATTTCTTAGTGATGCAAAGCTTTTTGATGGAATTTCTGAAATTTGGTTTCCTGCCAAAGCTAACCACTTTAAATTCTGCAAATTCACAAACCACTCTGGATTGATTGATTGAAGCTTGTTGTTGTAGAAATACAGCACTTCAAGCTTAAATAGTGGACGAAAAATGTTGCTCGGCAGGAAATTAATTTGATTTTTACTTAAATCCAAATCCTCAAGTTCCTTTTGATTAAGGAATAAATTTTCAGGCAACGTTGTCAGCGGATTGTTTTGAATCCAAAATTTCAGCAACTTTGAATTTTGAGTCAGCAAATTTTCTGGAACCACGCGAATTCTGTTGAATTCAACGAAGAAATATTTCAAATTTTTACAACTTGACAGTGAATTTTCATCAAAAAGTTCAACGCTCGTTTCATTTATAAAAATAACTTCAAGATTTGGCAACTTTTGACAAAAGATTGATGAGAAAATTTTTAATTTGTTGCCATTAAAAATTCTTAAATGTTTGACATTTCCATCGCTATGTCCTAGCTTATGTTGTCCTTTAAATGTTAAAAGTCTTTGTCCATAATTAGCTTGCTTTGTGTTTAAAGTGCATGAATAAAAAGTGTCATTTGTTGTTCTTCTACCATGTGTGGCAAAACTTTTATAATGATAGCTACATTCAGCTGTTTGGCTTTTTACTTTGACACTGAATGCAAAAATAATTGAAAAAATTATCAAAACTTTTAAGCTCATTTTAGGTTTTTTGTGGTTGTGCCTTTTCCTTATCATGCAAATCCACTCATAAGTTCAATTATTTCATACCAAAATCCATCAAAATAATTAAATTTAAATTCACAACACTAATTTCAAGTCCTAAGAATCAGCACACAAAACACAAACTGAACAAAAAGAATGTCAAAAAACTGGATTTTCGATCAAATCAAAAGCGAATTAATTCAGTCATGTAAATGTTAAATGGTCAAAAGATGTAAACAACTGAGAAGATTAAACAAATAAAATGCTAATTTTGCTTTACAAAACTAATGCTTAGAGTGATCAGCCTTTTGAGCTGAAAACCAGAGGCGAAGACGGAAAAAAGGGGGTGGCTGAATTATTTCGACACTTTTTTTAGCGCATTTTTGAAACTTGTTTCGAAAAGGTAGGGGCTCGTTCACTTATTACGTAACGCAAAAAAACGAGTTTTTAGACCCCCCCTCCCCCCTGTAACAAAGCGTAACAAAATCTTAGAACCTCCCTCCCGCCCTAGTGCGTTACGTAATAAGTGAACGAACCCTAGCTTAATAATACGCTTTATTCGGCTGCTCGGGGCAAGAAAAACTTTTTAACCAGACATCGTAGAGAGCTCGGGTTTGTTTTATTAGCTCAGTTCTATCGAGTTATTGGCCGGCCGAATAATTAAAAGCCTTAAAACAGTGGATTTATACTTTAATTAATGATTTTATTATTTCATATGAAAAACACGTGATTGATGCGTTTAGTAATTGTAATCAGGGTGCGTTCAGAATTTCGAATTTTTTTAACTGGTAAAAATTTGAATTTCAAAAAACCATTTAATGATAAACCTTTTCTTTATGGAAATTCATTGTAATTATTTGATCTGTAAGTGAACACAAAATAATTAAATAATCAAATACTGATCGCTAACACAAAAATGCGCTTAAGTCCCTCGACTAATAACACGAGGACTTTTGTAATTTTTTTGAGGTTCAATAATATCTCTTCAGGGGTGTAGTCAGATTTTTTTTTGTGGGGTGGGGTTGAAACAGGAAAATTTAAGGGGGGGGGGAATAGTTTTCTATGAACAGGAAAGTTTGGGGGGGAAGGGAATTTTTTATTGGGGGGGACGGGGGGATTTTTTATTGGGGGGAGGGGGGGGGGGGTGATTGGATTGGGGATTTGTCTCAAAAGCCCTTGTAAATTAAAGAAATTTTTCTAAAACGGTAGAAGGGGGGGGAGTTTACCCCACCCTCTGGCGGCTACTCCCTTTTCTCTCTTTTGTTAACTTACTGAAAATAAGGGGGTCATTCGACCCTAAAGCCCTCAAGGAACTTCGATTATAAATCCATTAACTTTAAAACTTTGTCGGACTTTGTGGATGGAAAAAGAGCACTTGGAAGGCCAAAGAACCCATGAAAAGAAGCTGTTGATAGAGACAATATTGCATTTGGTATAGGAAATTGACAAGCGGTAGCCAGAGATAGAGCCAGTTTTAGGCGGCATCTGAGGGAGGCAATGGATCACAATTGATCTGTAAGGTCATCGAAGTGAGTAAGTAATTTTAAAACCTAAAATTTACTGTGCAATCCCAATCACTTTTAAGCAGAGCTCGAATCTGAGGCAAGTTGACTCTAGTCAACTCGGGTTTTTTCGAGTCAACTCCTAGTCGACTCGTAGTCAACATCTTTCTCCAGAAACTTCATACAGACTCGGTTTTGAGTCGAGTCAACTCGAACCCTGTCAACTTCGAGCTCAACTTTCAAGCTCTGCATATTGTAAAGACACGATTAAGTCTAAAGACCTGATATACCTTGCAAGTAAACTAAGTTCTAGTTCGCAAAATGCTGTAACGAAATCATGTAGGTCAGTGTTGTCCAAAATGTGTGCCGTGGCACAATGGTGCGGCCGGAGAATTTTTTCCGAAATGACGCAAGCCGCATGTTGTGTGCGATTTTAGTCATGACCCCTCTAAAGTGTGCCGTGGCTTAAAAAGTTTGGACAAAACTGATCTAGATGATGGTACATCCAAGTTAACCTAGACCTGTTTTTTAGCGCATTTTCCCACTCCAAAAGAAACACGCTCTTGTCCACACTTTGTCCGTAATTCTGTCTGTGGTCAGCATAGCTCTTACAGGAACGGTAAAATTGACTTGGCACTTAAGTAGCTTCCATATTGAAAATCAGACCTAAACGATGATTTTGGAACTTGTCAGTTCCTTTTCAGGTGAGTTTTGGCATGAAGGATCACTAGCTGTTCCTGAAAAGTAGAGAGGGGAAAGGGGCGGTGGTTAAAAACATTGTTTTGCTGGGAATTCGATAAAAGTTCTCTAATTTGATGAACTTTATCATCTTTTTTCTTTGCATTTATTTAACAGCAATAAAATGCACGAGCTGTGTTAACTAGTGTAAACAATAATTGATAAGAGACTGGCTGAAAACAAGGGTGTATAACTGATCCAAATGACAAAAAGAGACAAAAATGATCAAAAAGAGTGTGAACAGGTTTAAACTTTGGAGTGGGAGGGGGGGTAGGGGGGGGGGGGAAGTTAGGGCTGGTCATCAGCTACTCTGCCACAATATAAAGTTACCTAAAAGAATCACTCAACTAGTTCCCCTTGAACAGCAGTCTTATCAAAATGTACAGAAGAAAGTTGTCAAAACATTCAAAAAGATAAGACTTAAATTGGGCAATTTGTGATGTTTTTTTTACTATCTCAGCCTCATTTGTACTGACTTGTTTTGAAGCTAAGGCAGCAACTGCACGTACAATCGAGTTTTAAAAGAATTAAAAACAGTAACAATAATGGATATCCACTGCGCATACCAAGATCACATCTTCGACACTGACGAGACATTCTACCGCTGTGTCATTTCCAAGCAGCCAATTCCAGAAGAAATATTCAAGCTTGCCGGCACCCACAAAGAAGACAAGACCAACGATGACGTCACATACATCGAATTTCGATACTGTACAGTTACAAAAGTTCCACAAGGACTGACTAAAATCTTTCCGAATTTAAAGTTTTTAGAGATTTTCGAGTCACAGCTGCACACAATCACAAAGGCTGACTTAATTGAGTACCAAAATTTGGAGAAATTCATATGCAGGAACAATGTTGTTGAGTTCTTGCCTGGCGACTTGTTTGAAGGCTTTCAAAATCTTCAATTCATTTCATTTAATGGCAATAAGCTGCAAATTGTGGAACCAAACATTCTAGATGGCCTGGACAACATTAAACACGTTGATTTTTGGAGGAACTCCAACTACGACAAGTGCTACTCAATCTACAATAACACAAACGCTAATGCAACCCTCGACGAGGTCCACGCACAGCTTTTCGAGAAGTTTTTCTCGTCCGATCCGGAAAATGTTAAGAATTTCATCGACAAGCCACATCAGCCGATGGTTAAAATCTTCAAGGAACTCCAACAGCTTAAGAATGCTGAAATTAAGCTTAATCAAGTTGTTGAGGATTTAATGAAGGATTTGGAGATGATAAAGTTGGAGAAGTTGAGCATGGAGAAGAATTTTCAGGAACAGATTGATAAATTAAGTGAGCAAATGAATGGTGGAAAGAGTGAGGATGTTAAGGAAGTTGAGGACATTGAGGAAATCAAAGATGTTAAGGACGTTGAGGAGGTTGCTGTGGTCGAGGAGAATGAGAGATTGTAGATTAGTTTTAATAGTTTAGTGCAGTGCTGTGCAACCTTTTTTATGCCACGGTACACCATGGTGGTTAGCGATGACAACCATAGTGTTTCGCGTCATATGGGTTGACCATCACTGTAAATATTGTAAATTTAAATTTGGTGGTTGGGAAATAAAAGTCTTATGCTAGAAAAAGAAAGCCTGCTTTTGCCTTAACAGCACGTCCAAAAGACAAAAAAAAGTTACGTCATCAGCACACCGTCATCATATCACACATTTATTTCTCAATATCAATTCCATTTTTTATCTTCAATTTTTGCTTTGATTTATTTTTTTTTATCAAACTTTTGATAAAAAAATGTATTTTTGTCATTTATTCAGTGACTTTTTTCTTGACAGGAGTTTGGTAATCAAAAATTGTGGATTTAATAGCTTGAAGTGCTGATATTGCAGGAACTTAATAAAACTCACGGTTAGTCATTAAGAAAATCAATTCATTAATTTAATATCAAAAAATCAAATTTTTAACAGCTATGGAAGTTGAATGTACCTTCAATGACTCTGACTGGCCATTTACGACTACTAAGTTCTACCGTTGCTGTATCGAAAAATACCAAATTCCAGACGACATTGAATTAATAATCGATGGGAAGCACAGACTCAGAAAAACCAACAATGACGTCACATACTTAAAATTCTATGACTGTACAATCACCAAAGTTCCAGCTGGAATGACCAAAATCTTCCCAAACTTAAAGATCCTCGAGATAAACACAGCGAAATTGAGAAAAATCACCAAAAATGACTTAATTGAGTATAAAAATTTGGAGAAGTTTTCATGTTGGGGAAATGAGATTGAGTTCCTGCCTGGTGACTTGTTTGAAGGCTTCAAGAACCTTGAGTGGATCTCATTTTATGGAAATCGTCTGTGGATCATCGAGCCAAACATTTTTGATAACCTTGAAAGCCTTAAACGCATACAACTTGAGCACAATCCAAATTATGACATTTTATACTCAGCATATCCAAAGGACAAAGTCAGCACAACTTTTGGGGAAGTCAAAAATATTTTAATCGACAAGTTTTTCGCATCTGATCCACAAATTATTAAAAACTTCATTCTTAAGCTTGGCAATCCGATTGATGAATTGAAAAGCTACACAAAAAGGATCAAAAATGCTGATAAAAAATTAGAAATTATGGAAATCCGTGCTGAGGTCTTTGAGGAACTGATGAGCAGGAAAATGGACAACCTTGAAAGTTCCAACTCATTTTTAAACCAAGAAATCCAAAACTTAAAGTCAAAATATGAGGAAAAGTCAGCCATAACCTCAAACTTATTGCAACAGCTCGACAGCTTCACATCCGGCATCTTTGGTGACCTCAAAAGCTTCCTGCAGAACCAAAACATTCGAGACTTTAAAATTATCATCGATAACCAAGAATTCCTTGTCCACAAGTTCCTGCTAGCTGCTCGAAGTCCAACTCTGGCTGAAATAATCTTTAATAATCCAGCTGTGGATAGATTTAACTTAGTTGACATTCCAGTTGACATTTTTAAGATAATTTTGAAATTTTTCTACACAGATAAACTTCCAGGTGGGGAAGGACTGAACTTTTTGCATCTTTTTGCAGCTGCCGGAAGGTTGAAAGTCAAGAAACTGGAAAAGTATGCAGCAAAAAGAGTCTTGGACGAAGTCAATCCAGACAATGCATTTGATGTCTTCAATTTGGCTATAAAATATGGAAATAATGACTTGATGCAGCGAGCATTTGAGGAAATAAAGCAAAAGTATCCGTTGGTTGATTTTAAGGAGGAATGGAGCACGGAACCAGAAAAGATGATTAAAGTTATTGAAGTATTGAAAAGGAAAGAAGAAGCAATGAAAAAAATTGAGGAGGAAGTTGAAGGTTTGGTGATAATAAAATAAAATTGTGTGGATTTTGTGCCTTAATTCTTATCAAAGCTCAACTGCTTGTTATCAATTTTCTGAAGAAATTAATTATCTTATCAATAAAGTTTAAAGATAACAATTTTAAAAAGTTGTTTGAAAAATGTTTAATTGCTCACTTTTTGACGGACTGTCTTTGACTTTATGTTCTCAGTTTAACACAAATTAACTGCAAAATTTGAATAAAAATAACTTTTTAAAACTTAATTCTTGAATTTTCTGTTGATTCAAATCAATTTTGAGTCTTAAGAAGGCTTCATCGCTGCATTTGGACATTAAAAAACTTATTTGACGAAGGAACTGAAATGCTTAATCTGCATTTGGACGACATTGAATGTTGACATTGAAGATTTTTAATGCGTTTTAAAAAATGAATCATTTTATTTTCATTTAATAGCTTTATTTGTTCGATTAAAAATTTATTTCATTCTGAAAGTTTAATTCAAGTTTTAACATTTTAATAATTGTGAGTAAAATTAAGAAAATATTAAATCTGGTCCTTAATTCAAAAGTTGTTTCAGTGCTGCAAAGATGAAAGTTCAATGTAATTATTATGAACATTCCTGGCCAAATTATCCAAATAAATTCTACTGCTGTGAAGTGAGAAGTCAACAAATTGTGGATGATCAAGAACTTGAATTTATTGGAAATCATTTAAACTGTAAAACAAGCAATGATGTGACTTTTATTTATTTTTGCAATTGTAATTTGAACAAACTTCCTAAAAATCTTTCTAAAGTCTTTCCAAATTTAAATATTATTGTTATTTCCTATTCAAAATTAAAAACAATTTGTAAAAATGACTTGAGTGGATTTAAAAAATTGAAAATATTTTCTTGCTGTAACAATGACATTGAGTTTGTTCCTGGCAATCTTTTTGAAGACTTAAGATGTTTGGAATGGATTACATTTTATATCAACAAAAAATTAAAAATAATCGAGCCAAATTTATTGAATAAGCTTGAAAACTTAAAATGTGTCCATTTAGAAAAAAATTTAAATCATAACATTGAGTTCACAGTTTGGAATTCACCAACATCAACACTTGATGAAGTTAAAAATGATCTTGCTGAAAAGTTTTTTGCATTGGATTTGCCATCAGTTAAAGATTTTATCATGAAGCAAGAGGATCCATTAAAAGAATTAAAGAAATATTTCACAAAAGTCAAAACAACTGATGCCAATATTAAAATTTTGAAGCTTAAGAACGAAATCACAGAAGATTCAATCCAAAATGGCCTCCTCGGTGATCTCAAAAGGTTCCTACAGAACGAAAACGTCAAAGACTTCAAAATCATCATCGGTTCCAAAGAATTCATGGTCCACAAGTTCCTCTTAGCTGCTCGCTCTCCAACTCTGGCTGAAACATTCAGCAAAAATCCAGATGCAGACAGCCTTATACTTATTGACATCACTGAGGAAATGTTTGAGAAAATCTTAAAATTCCTTTACACTGATGAAATTCCAGGCGAGGCTGGGATGAATTATGTGCAACTTTTTGGAGCTGCTGAACGTCTGCAAATCATCGAGCTTAAAAACTTTGCAGTTAAGAAGATTTTAGAAAATATCAGTAATTTAAATGCTTTGGAGCTTCTTACAATGGCCAACAGATACAAGCATGATGAATTGATACAGGCGGCATTCGAAGAAGTTAAAAAAAAGTATCCAGAAATTCCATTTAAAAATGAATGGTTCAAAGATCCAGAACGAGTAGTCATGGTTATTGAAGCATTTTTAAAAAAGGAAGGAGCTATAAGACGCATTACAACTGAATACGAAAATTTGATTTTGTAATAACAAAAAATTGTTTTTTTTTATTTTTCACATTAAATAAATAATAATCAATCTTTATTAATATATTAAAAAACTAGGCTATCCGGAGGCGCCCGTGGCGCCTCTTATCAGGGTTAAAATTTGATTACTATTATGTAAATAACTGTAAGACGCAAATAACCATAATGTTTTTAAGGTCAATCCTACCACAAAACTTCACATGGCCTCACAAAACTCCTCAAACTCGGACCCCCTTAATCCCTCAAAAATTTTATAAATGGCTTCACAAAACTTCACAGGGCTTCACAAACCCCCTCGAACTCGAGCTTCGCATGGCTTCACAAAACTTCACAAAATTTTATATGGCTTCACAAAATATTCCTGACACCAAACTTTTCCCACAAACCCCCTCACCTTACCCCCCCCCCCACCCACCTTGTCAGCACCCCTAAAATCATTGGCTTCACAAAATATATCGACACCCACCTTGTCCCCATCCCCCACCTGACACCCACCCCCCACCTGACACCCACCCCCCACCTGACACCCACACCCACCTGACAACCACCTTGTCAACACTCCTTAAATTTTTGTCTTCACACGGCTTCACAAATGTCTTCACATTGCTTCCGTTCCAGAGTCAGTGAATCAGTGAGTTGGGCTTTTATATATTAGATAAATAAAATAGTCAACAAAAAGTAGGGAAAAAATTTAGTTAAAAAACTTTATCAACCATTATCAACTTATTTAAAAAATATGTAATCTTATCAACCAATAAATAAAATATTTTAAAAATAACCAAGGGGCAGTTCACAAATGACGTCCAAAGAGGGTGTGGGGGGGTTATTTAATTTAATTATTTTTTTTTAAACGTACTTACTTACTTTGTTGACCGTACAGATCAATTGTGATCCATGGCCTCCCTCAAATGTCGCTGGAAGCTGGCTCTATTGCTGACTACCGCTTGTCAATTTCCTATACCAAATGCAATGCTGTCTCTATCAACAGCCTCCTTCCACGAGTTCTTTGGTCTTCCACGTGCTCGCTTGTCATCTAATTAGTCAGACTTGAAAATCTTCACTAATGGAGCTTCCACAGATCTCCTTAATACTTATGCCCTGCCCATCGGAGCCTGTTTAATTTGATTCGTTTTACGATATCAGCTTTTTTTTAATAAAAAAATGACCGTTAATTTCGGACGTCATATATGAACGACCATAAGCTTTATCATCAATTTTAATTATCAAGAAAATTTACAATCTAATCATAATTAGCTTTTTAACTGGAATAGCATCAAGTTATTAGCCCTGGCAACCAGTAACCAGCAACCAGGAATCAACAAGCAACTCTTAATTCAAAAAGTCCAGCATACAGCCATACAAACAATCACAATTTCATTAACTTACAGCAATTTAATAAAAGTAGCAAAGAAATTAAGCACATATAAAAAATCAGAAAAGTACAGCACTTGAGTAAATAAGCATGAATCGACACAAAACATGAGCCATAAAATGAAGCATAAAATCTGAGAATTAAGTTGGACTTGTTATTATTAAATGGCATTAGATGCAAACAACAAAGAACAGATTCGTATTTATTTGCACAAAACTGCTTTCCTGCTCTGTGTTGTTTTTCAGCTTTCATTGCACCTTCAGGCTATATCCAATCCAATACTTTTTACGATTTTCTCTTCTTTTTGCAATTTAAATTACATGCATTGAACTTTGGATTTATTTTTTTGGCTCATTTTAGAATTTTTATTTGAAGATTTTTTTGATGTGTTTTGAATGGGGTGTGGATGAGAGGGGATGAGGGGGGGTTAGGGGGTATGAGGGGAGATGAGGGGGGATTAGGGGTTATGAGGGGGGATGACGGGGGATGAGGGGGGATAAGTAGGGGATGAGGGAGGATGAGGGGGGATGAAATGGAGGGTTATAGGAATAATAAGGTTTACATCAGTGAATGAATTTGAGAGCCGAGGGATCCGTTCACTAATTACATAACGATTTTAAGGGGAAAAGGGGTTTAAACGTTGTTTTTTTCGCGTAACATAATAAGTGAACGGCATCAAGGTAGCAGCAGGATTGAGAGTAATAAATGCCGTAAGAGCCATTTGAGGGTCTTCGTAGGCGGGTTTCAAGAGCTATCCGGGGCATCCCCTCTATCCTCCATCTAGGTTCTCTAAGGCCAATGTGGAGTAGGATGGCTCTTTAAAAACTTCCCAATACCAACCCACACTGCCCTAGAAGAATCTAGGTGGAAAATAGGGTAGCGTAATCTAGGATGACTTATGTACCCTGATGAGCGTAGTGGGATGCCCCGGATAACCACAGAAACCGTCCCCAGTTGATGGTATTTTCTTGCTAGATTCTTGACCTCTATCTTGTAAAAGATTCTATTGTTGACCTTAGATTACTCGTCTGAAGAAGGTTTCTCGGTTTGCCCCAGCATCTATGAATACCTAAACTTACCCTAAGTAGTCCTTAGCTCACTACCTTAAAGGATATCATTAATATTCACATGTTTTCTTTCAAGCCTTGATTGTTCCCTTCTTGTCCTATAAGAAAAGGTTTGTTAAGATACTGGAGTATCCAAATAAGTCACTATCAGCCTCCCCCGTTCCCTCCTTGCTACCTCAATGATGTCCAAGACACCGGCTTAGAGTCATACATTTGAAATTAATCTTTGGGATCTGACCAATCCCTTGGTTACGTTCCTGTTCAGTCCTTATATCCAACAAAAGTAATTATAAGAACCGAATAAATAAATTTCACATTTCACATTTCTTTATTTTGTTTTTTTTTTCTTCGCATCGTTTTTTTCTACTCGATTTTGATTTCAGCATTTCTTTCTGTAAATGCCTTGCGGGAAGTGAAGGGGAAACAAAGAAGATGGAAAGAAAATCTTTAACAAAAATAAAAAAGAAAAAAGATTGAAATTGGAAATCAATATGGGAATTGAAATGATTTAGAAAAATAAAATCTGTGAATTTTAAATTTAAATATTTTAAAAATTTGAGGGAATTGGTTTTAGGGGCTGGGCTGTTCACTTGTTACGTAACACATTAAAGAACTTTTGTCAAACTTGTCACTTTTGTTTAAAATCTCCTGGCCCTCCAGTAATTAAATATGCACGATAGTCTAGACTCTAGAGCAGTGTTGCCCAAACTGTGTGCCGCGGCACACTTATTTTTTGTAAATGACGCAAAAAGTATGCTATGTGCGACTTTCGTCATGACTTAACCATAAGGAGTGCCGTGGCTCAAAAAAGTTTCGACAACACTGCATTAGAGGCTGAAACAATAGACGTCAATTATGAACAGTCCCATTGGAATAACTGAGAATTTTAAAACCAATAAAACTTTCAAAAAAATTAGATTCATCAATAAGGAATAGCTTATAATATTCAATATGCAAAGGCTGTTGATCGATTTTAGCCTGTTTGTGGTCAAAAACGGGGCATGTTCCATTTTAGCTCTGAAAAGAGGGGCAGAAAAAAAGGTTCAAAAAAGCGGGACATTAAGCATTGTAGGCGGAGCTTTGATCAAAAAAGCAGGACTATTCCGTGTCTTTGCAATGTGCAGATCTTGCAAGTAGTTCGGATTCCACTATGATCTGTAGGTCTAAAGGGTATGGTACAATAGATTCTTTAAAAGTTGAATCGCAGTGCCTTCTGTTAAAAGGCTGGGTCCTTCAAACATTATTAGGTCTGTACCGCTCAAAAGTGCACAGTTTGACAGCCTAAATATACATCATCATTAGCATTAACCTTGAAATTAAAGCGTCAATAACATTTAGGGGCTGTTCACTTATTACGTAACACGAAAAAATGACTTTTTAAACCCCCCTCGTAACAAAATTTGTACGAAAAAAAAATTTCCTTGTTTGAACCGTAACAAAATCTTAGACCCCCCTCCCCCCCTAAAAGCGTTACGTAATAAGTGAATGGCCCTTTTTTTAAATTCTATTTTTTAGTCGTCTTCATTCAAGGTGTGGAAACTATCCCAAATATTCCATTTATCCCACATGTCCCAAAAATATTCAAAATAATCCCTGAGCCTGTATACATTAGAATTGAGATATCCCAACGTATCCTGAAATTACACGTCCAATACACTAAGGATACGTTGGGATATCCTTATTATCGTGGATACATGCTCAGGAATTTTTTGAATATTTTTGGTATATGTGGGATAAATGGAATTTTTGGGATAGTTTCCACGCCTTGACTTCATTTAAATATTTATTGCTTTTTAATTAATGCTAATTCAAGCTACAAAAGACACATCTTCTTCCATGTGTGTGACTGACCAAAAAAACAACATTTTTCATCTTCGCTGATTTTTTTTTCCTCAGTTTGGTCTTTTTGTGTTGATCTGAAAGGCTGCAGATTTTTTAATTTGTTCTATTTTTTTATTAATTTGATTAGAATTGTGCAGTTAAACTCACTACTTATAAATGAAGGAAATGAATCTTAAATATTTCATCTTTTATTCAATATTCTGGTCCATAAACCAAACTAAATGTCAAGTGGCAAAATGTGATTACAGTTATCAAAATTACTGGTCTACGGGCTATAAAACTACAAATACTTCTTATTATACTTGTTATTTGGACACACGGCAAGCAAATTATAATGAAAAGCTGATACAAATTGACGGAAAACATGAAATTGGACACAGTGATGATGACGTAAAGTGGATTGGTAACAACAAACTGAAGACATTTTCATCAATTATCTGCCAAAAGTTTCCAAATCTTAAAGTTGTTCAAATAACCGACGCAGAACTGGATTCAATTGAGGAAGATTCGTTGTTCAATTGCAATAATTTGGATCATTTATTAATGCATAAGAATAAAATTCGAGAACTTCCTGAATATATCCTTATAAAAAATTCAAAGCTGACATTATTAAGACTTTACAGCAATCAACTGACAACGGTGCCTGAAAATTTCCTTTTATACCAAAAGAATCTTGAAGATTTAGACTTGAATGACAATCAAATTGAGTTTTTGCCTGGCAACATTTTTCGATCACTTCAGAAACTTGAACTGCTGTATTTGTACAAAAATAAGCTTCGTTCAATAAATCCAGAATGGTTTGTAAACCTGCAGAATTTAAAGTGGTTACGCCTTGATGGAAATCAAATTTCTGACATTCCGTCAAAATGTTTTGCAGCACTGAGAAATTTGGAAAAATTGTGGATTTACGAAAACAGAATAAAAAGTTTAAAATCAGACAATTTTGATGGTCTTCAGAACTTGAATATATTAAATTTGAATGATAATGAAATTTTCGATCTTCCAGTCGATGTTTTTGCTTCATTAAAAAGCCTCGATGGATTAAGTTTAAACAACAATAAGCTAACAACAATTCACTCAGACTCTTTCAAATCAGTTCACAATAAATTCACAAGCATTTATGTAGGAGACAATTTAATTAATGCAATCGATGAAAAGTTGATAGATGACATCAGCACTTTGTTCCATTTTAACATGACAAACAACATTTGCAGTCAACTTTATTTAAAAACTAGAAATCAACTAAAATCGATGCTTAAAGAATGTTTTAATAATTATCAGCCTCGACATCAGCATCAATCTCAAATTAGTCGTCCTTTTCACCATCAACTTATAGCGTCAACTTCAAATATTTGCGGCAGATCATCGACAGGTCAAGGTAATATAATTGGTGGATCGACCATCTCCCGAGGAAGCTTTCCATGGTAAGCTAATCATGTCCAAGGGACTGTTCACTTATTACGTAACGCGAAAAAATGACTTCTTAGACCCCCCCCCCCCCCCCTCGTAACAAAATTTGTATGAAAACAAAATTTCCTTGTTTGAACCGTAACAAAATCTTAGACCCCCCCTCCCCCTAAAAGCGTTACGTAATAAGTGAATGGCCCCCAAGTTAATTTAAACAATTTTTATTATTATTTTTACTATAAAGGATAACGGCATTGGTTAAACCAACAGGAGACTTCTTTTGTGGTGGAACACTCGTGTCAAATCGGAAAGTTCTGACAGGTAAGAATCAAAAATGTTATTATAGAGGAGAGGAGCTGGTAATTTGAGGCTTCTGGACGCTTGATATTATTTTTTTTTCACAATAATTCATTTAATTTTAACAGTGTTGTCCAAACTTTTTGAGCCACGGCACACCCAAGGGGTAAATCATGACTGCAGTCGCACACAGGATGCGAATTGTGTCATTTCCAAAAAAAAAAAATTAAGACACACTGGTGTGCCACACAGTTTGAACAACACTGATTTAGTTGACCCCCCCCCCCCCACCTGGACCTCATAGGTGAACGGTCACTTAAGACCGGCCCCTTAAATGTCTCTAGTCCAATCAGAATTTAGTTTTAAGGGGTTTGATACATTTTTTCATTATTTTCAATTAATATTTATCATTTAAAAAAAAAGGGGTGGGTGTGAACCCCGAACCCCTCTGCCTGCTTCCCTTAATATCTAATTCCTAAAATTATTTATCAACTTTTTTCTAATACAGCTGCACATTGCATCCAAGACAAGCACACAACGACAGCAACAACAGCAAGTGAAATTATAGTCCAACTCGGTGTTTATGATCTCAAAAGAACCATCGAAATTGGCAGAATTCCATATGCTGTCGAGACAGTCAACGTTCATTCAAGCTGGAATACATTAAGTGAGCCTTACGATTATGATATTGCTGTGCTGGTCCTCGACACTGAAGTAACTTTTAACAAATTTATTCAACCCATTTGTATGCCAAACTTAAATATCGTATCTATAAAAACTGGCATTGTCGTTGGATTTGGCAAAAGTGAAGACACAACAAAAGTGCACGAAAACATTCCAAAAATGCTCGAGACACCAATTCACAGTAATGAGGACTGCTTTTTCCATGAATACCGTTTGGTGAAACTGTCAAGCAAGCGAACGTTTTGTGGAGGAACTGGAACTGGCATAGGAGTTTGTCGAGGTGACAGTGGTGGTGGATTAATCGTTAATGATGGCGGTGCTTACTATCTACGTGGAATTGTATCTTCTTCGCTGATTGGAGGACCACATGGATGTGATGTTGACACTTATTCTGTATACACAGATGTGACCAAATACATCGATTGGATTAATGGAATCTCAACAAGTCGATTTTAAATACTCATTAAGATTTAAGTGATGGATTTAAGGGATAACTTGGTGATGGATTTTGTTATTAAATCATTAAAATTAAGTTAAGGTGGAGGATTTGATCTTTTCATCAGTTCTGCACATTTGACTTTAGCTTAAATTCACAAACTTATTAGGCGTACCTTAAAAATTATCTTACTCTAAACCAGTGTTGTTCAACCTATTTTGAGCCAAGGCATACCTTAGAGGTGGGCCATTACAAAAGTCGCATACAGCATGCGGCTCGCGTCATTTACAAAAAAATTCTACGGCACATCAGTGCTACGCGGCACACAGTTTGGACAACACTGCTTAAAACCAAAATCAAGAACACAAAACACTACGAAATTGAAAAAAAAATCAACATAATTTAAAAATTCTCCTCAATTTTATATGCTCTCGATTGTTCCTTCCTCATTGTTACACTTGACAAACACTGCATTTTTTATTATTTTTAATAAAGTTCTCCGTTTCTCATTATTATTGTAATTATTATGATTATTTTTCGACAAGGCCTGTCATTGTTGTTAAACTGATACGGCTACTAATGATTTGTGCATTAATGGGTTTCTCTTTACGGGTGTTTAGAGTGAGGATGTGGGATGTTGAGGAAGAGGTTAAGTTTGAAATTTTATAAAGTAAATTAGAGCGCATTTTTCAGAATATTTCTTTAAACTTTTGAAGGTTAGTTTAATTTTATTTTATGTTTTCAATAGTAAAACTTTTAAAAAAATTTTTGCACTTTTTAATTTATTTTTACTTTTTGACATTTTTCAAATTTTTAAACTTTTTTAAATTTTTTCACTTTTTAAATAAATTTAAACATTTTTTACGTTTTTACCTTTTTTTATTTTTTTAAAAAACAGAAATTTTTTTTAAATTCAATTTTTTTAAATTTAAAAATTTTCAAATTTTAATTTCCAATGATTTTGAAGTTTTTAAGATATTTAAAAAAAATTCAGTTTTCTTCAACAATTTGAAACTTTTAAAATTTATTTAAACATTTTAAATAAGTTTTAAATCTTTTTAATCTTAAAACATAATTAAAAAATATTCGAAAATTCATCGCACTCCAGACAACCAGCCACAATAGCACATTCACATAAAATGTGTAATAAAAAAAATCACAATATTTTTCAGAATAATAAATAAAAAATATGAACATTTGTGCACTAAACGAGTAATTTTGATTTGTTTGACATTTAATATCATAATTCATGCACACCAACCACATACATCCATAAAAAATAAATATTAGACACATAGCACAGTGAATGAGATGTTATTTATGCTAAATATGTTATGCGGTAGAAAATTTTTTTTCTTTTTTTTTCTATCATTTCATAAATAACAGGCGTGAAATTCATATCCTGTGGGCAAGAATCTATGAAAACGATACACAATGATTAGTTTAAGGAAATGAATAAAAAAAATTTGTAGCTGAAAATGTTAAAAATTGATTATACATTAGACACGTGCGTGATTTTTGTTGTTCACTACTTCGATACTTTATTTTGATACTCGAGATTTTTTGTTGCATAAATGAAGTTTAGGAAATTTAATTCTATTAATTAGTAAAAATTATATTTTCAAGTATTTTTTAAGACTATTTTAACATGGGTTGTTGAATTAAAATTGAACGATTTTTTGTACTACAAGATTAGAAACAGCACTAAGATAAGATTAAAAGCAAGACTAAGACAAGATTAGAAACAGGACTAAGACAAGATTAGAATCAGGACTAAGACAAGATTAGAAGCAGGACTAAGACAAGATTAGAAGCAGGACTAAGACAAGATTAGAAGCAAGACTAAGACAAGATTAGAAGTAGGACTAAGACAAGATTAGAAGTAGGACTAAGACAAGATTAGAAGCAGGACTAAGACAAGATTAGAAGTAGGGCTAAGGCAAGATTAGAAGCAGAACTAAGACATGATTAGAAGCAAGACTAAAACAAGATTAGGAACAAGACTAAGACAAGATTAGAAGCAGAACTAAAACAAGATTAGAAGTAGGACTAAGACAAGATTAGAAGTAGGACTAAGACAAGATTAGAAGCAGGACTAAGACAAGATTAGAAGTAGGACTAAGACAAGATTAGAAGCAAGACTAAGACAAGATTAGAAGTAGGACTAAGACAAGATTAGAAGTAGGACTAAGACAAGATTAGAAGCAGGACTAAGACAAGATTAGAATCAGGACTAAGACAAGATTAGAATCAGGACTAAGACAAGATTAGAAGCAGGACTAAGACAAGATTAGAAGCAGGACTAAGACAAGATTAGAAGCAAGACTAAGACAAGATTAGAAGTAGGACTAAGACAAGATTAGAAGTAGGACTAAGACAAGATTAGAAGCAGGACTAAGACAAGATTAGAAGTAGGGCTAAGGCAAGATTAGAAGCAGAACTAAGACATGATTAGAAGCAAGACTAAGACAAGATTAGGAACAAGACTAAGACAAGATTAGAAGCAGAACTAAAACAAGATTAGAAGTAGGACTAAGACAAGATTAGAAGTAGGACTAAGACAAGATTAGAAGCAGGACTAAGACAAGATTAGAAGTAGGGCTAAGGCAAGATTAGAAGCAGAACTAAGACATGATTAGAAGCAAGACTAAGACAAGATTAGAAACAAGACTAAGACAAGATTAGAAGCAGAACTAAAACAAGATTAGAAATAGGACTAAGACAAGATTAGAAGCAGGACTAAGACAAGATTAGAAATAGGACTAAGACAAGATTAGAAGCAGAACTAAAACAAGATTAGAAATAGGACTAAGACAAGATTAGAAGCAGGACTAAGACAAGATTAGAAATAGGACTAAGACAAGATTAAAAGCAGGACTAAGACAAGATTAGAAGCAGGACTAAGACAAGATTAGAAGTAGGGCTAAGGCAAGATTAGAAGCAGAACTAAGACATGATTAGAAGCAAGACTAAAACAAGATTAGGAACAAGACTAAGACAAGATTAGAAGCAGAACTAAAACAAGATTAGAAGCAGAACTAAAACAAGATTAGAAGTAGGACTAAGACAAGATTAGAAGCAGGACTAAGACAAGATTAGAAGTAGGGCTAAGGCAAGATTAGAAGCAGAACTAAGACATGATTAGAAGCAAGACTAAGACAAGATTAGGAACAAGACTAAGACAAGATTAGAAGCAGAACTAAAACAAGATTAGAAGTAGGACTAAGACAAGATTAGAAGTAGGACTAAGACAAGATTAGAAGCAGGACTAAGACAAGATTAGAAGTAGGGCTAAGGCAAGATTAGAAGCAGAACTAAGACATGATTAGAAGCAAGACTAAGACAAGATTAGAAACAAGACTAAGACAAGATTAGAAGCAGAACTAAAACAAGATTAGAAATAGGACTAAGACAAGATTAGAAGCAGGACTAAGACAAGATTAGAAATAGGACTAAGACAAGATTAGAAGCAGAACTAAAACAAGATTAGAAATAGGACTAAGACAAGATTAGAAGCAGGACTAAGACAAGATTAGAAATAGGACTAAGACAAGATTAAAAGCAGGACTAAGACAAGATTAGAAGCAGGACTAAGACAAGATTAGAAGTAGGGCTAAGGCAAGATTAGAAGCAGAACTAAGACATGATTAGAAGCAAGACTAAAACAAGATTAGGAACAAGACTAAGACAAGATTAGAAGCAGAACTAAAACAAGATTAGAAGCAGAACTAAAACAAGATTAGAAGTAGGACTAAGACAAGATTAGAAGCAGGACTAAGACAAGATTAGAAGTAGGGCTAAGGCAAGATTAGAAGCAGAACTAAGACATGATTAGAAGCAAGACTAAAACAAGATTAGGAACAAGACTAAGACAAGATTAGAAGCAGAACTAAAACAAGATTAGAAATAGGACTAAGACAAGATTAGAAGCAGGACTAAGACAAGATTAGAAGTAGGACTAAGACAAGATTAAAAGCAGGACTAAGACAAGATTAGAAGCAGGACTAAGACAAGATTAGAAGTAGGGCTAAGGCAAGATTAGAAGCAGAACTAAGACATGATTAGAAGCAAGACTAAGACAAGATTAGAAGCAGAACTAAAACAAGATTAGAAGTAGGACTAAGACAAGATTAGAAGTAGGAAGATTAGGAGTAGTACAGGAAAAAAAGTAGGACTAGAAATCATAACTAATCAAATCCTCATATTCTATTCCAACTCACCAAGAATTCCCACAGAAAAAAAATATCCCAATTATCCATAATATACAATTCAACAACCAAAACGATTTCATTTAATAATCTAATTTTTCTATTAATATCTCAAGTGCAAAAAGCAGCCAAAGCAACACGTTACCTGATACTCGAAACTGCTACTTCATCATCAAAAATATAACAAAATAAATTCCTAAAAAACTGCAGCACAATGTAACAAAAAAAATATTAAAACAAATTGAAGAAAGAAGGAGAAGCTAAGAGGCGGAAAAGCAATTTTCCAATTATTTTTCTTCATTCGCGTGTGCCGATATGTATTAAGCATCTCATATATGTGAATCATTTAATTAAAAATAAGAATAATATATAAAAAAAATTGTAGAGTAAGATTGGCTGTTAGTTATAATATGTTTATGCCTCTTACATGCTCTCGATCTGCTTTTTTACTCCCGTTTCTCTTACAACCGGCACGTGCGATTTGATGGTTAGAAAAAAAGAGAAATGAGCAGAGTGAAATTTAATGAACTCAACAGTCGAGGAGGGGTCGTGCTAATTTGTTAGACTTTACTGTCAAAAAATCATCATTTTGTGATATTTCATCCGTAGCTTGCAAAATAATGTCATATATTAATATGTACTCATGTACTTTATGGTGTTTTGAATGGGTGTGTGTCCTGATGTTTACTGTGAATGATATTATGAGATGTGAAGAGGGGTTCGGTATCGGATACTTGATGCTATTATGTGAATGGAATATTTAACTTAAAATCCTTAGTATTTTAATAATTTTATACAATATCTAGTAAATCAAGTCTTATTTTCAATGTTGACGCTCAGCTCTAGTTTTCAATGATGACGCTCAGCTCTAGTTTTCAATATTGACGCTCAGCTCTGGTTTTCAATGATGATGCTAAGCTCTAGTTTTCAATAATGACGCTCAACTTTAGGTTTCAATAATAACGCTCAGATCTAGTTTTCAATAACGAGGCTCAGCTCTAGTTTTATATTGACGCTCAGCTTTAGTTTTCATATTGACGCTCAGCTCTAGTTTTCAATAATTACGCTCAGCTCTAGTTTTCAATGGTGTCGCTTAGCTCTAGTTTTTAATGATGACGCTCAGCTCTAGTTTTCAATAATGATGCTTAACTTTAGTTTTCAATAATAACGCTCAGTTCTAAGTTTCAATAATGACGCTCAGCTCTAGTTTTCAATAATCATGCTCAGCTCTAGTTTTCAATAATTACGCTTCGGTCTAGTTTTCAATATTGACGTTCAGCTCTAGTTTTCAATAATGACGCTCAGCTCGAGCTTTTAATAATGACGCTTAGCTCTAGTTTTTAATAATGACGCTCTGCTCTAGTTTTCAATATTACGCTCAGCTCTAGTTTTCAATAATGACGCTCAGCTCTAGTTTTCAATATTGACGCTTAGCTCTAGTTTTCGATGATGACGCTCAGCTCTAGTTTTCAATAATGATGCTCAACTTTAGTTTTCAATAATAACGCTCAGTTCTAAGTTTCAATAATGACGCTCAGCTCTAGTTTTCAATAATCATGCTCAGCTCTAGTTTTCAATAATTACGCTTAGCTCTAGTTTTCAATATTGACGTTCAGCTCTAGTTTT